AGCTACAGATTGACAGGTGATATATCTGAGTTTATAATTATCTTAGCATCCGTCCATCCTTCCATCCTGTGCTTTGGAGTTTAGAATGTGCTTTCACATACATTATGTGAAACACACAAACCTGAGAAGCAGGCACTGTCTGTATTTTTTTTTTTTTTTTTTTTGGTTTTTCTCCCGGTACCAGGAATCAAACTCACGACCTTGCGCTTGCCAGGCAGGCACTTTGCCGCTGAGCTAAATCCCCAGCCCCAACTGTCTGTATTTTAAAGGTAAGGAAACCAAAGTCCAGAGACACTAGCAGACTTGGTTTAGGTCACATCACCAGAAAGAAACTAACCCGCAAGTCCATCTACAGACGCCGTTAAGGAAACAGCTTTCACTATTTGGAGAAACACTAGAGGCAAGAACTTCTCCATATCCTGAGCAAAGCCCACACCTACACACAAAGCTTCTCACCAAATGGGAGGCCAGAGTACTGCCAAGGTGGGCAGGGTCTCCACTGGAAGTATTAACAAATAGCCACTGCAGTTTTGCATGCAAAGGGTTTCACGGGTACAACCATGGGCTGATTTGTTACATTTCTAATAAACTACTTGTGAGTTTCCTCTCTGTCCACTGTGCCAATATGTAAGTGCAATCTACACAGCACATGGGAAATGAGTCTTTGTTGAACTGTGGTGTTTTATATCATTTTAATAGAGGCAGCCCATGGGGCATAGGGATGCAGAGGAACAAGGATATATACAAAACTAAGGGCTTGAGTTCCAGCAACTATGGGGCAAAGCACTCACCCTTGGCTTCCTCACGTGACAGGGGCGGTCACACTAAGGATTAAACAGGATAGCACATGTGGAATCCCAGGTAGGCACCAGCCACCAGGGCTTCCTTCGCTATGGCTTGGTTTCTGTCTCTCTTGAATAGTATCAAAAGAATGAGCATTTGTAGAAATAATATATGTAAAGTGCTTTCAAATAGGAAAGTAATTGATCTGTTCATACTGATTAAGTAATACCATTAGGTCAAGAAATATTAGACTTTCAATGGAATTAACTTTCTAATGATTTAGAAACAATTCAGAGAAAGCCTCTGGTGTGCCTAATATATTATTGCTCCAGGCAATAATGTGATTTTTCCATTTGCTTGTTTTCATTTCAGTAAGATGAGATTTACATTATAAATTTTTCAGCTAAAGTTCATACCACGATATGTATTTCTCTTACTGTTGAGGAGTCTTTTTATTCCTCAAACATATATATTCTATCTAATTTTCCCCATTTCATTTCTATAAATGAAAGCTTTCTGTAAGTGGTCGTAAGTTCAACATTTAGGAATACTTTTTTCCTAAGTCTGTAGAATGCGGCCCTTAAACCTTTCCAATTCCATGACCCTCCTTTGTCCTGTTTAAGAGTACTTTGACATCTCCTAAGTATCATTTAAGAAAACTTCTAAGGATTGCAGTCAGGCTCTGAACAGTAGGAATACTTTCTCCTTCTGGTATATTCTCCATGTTTACATTTACTCTCATTTTCACAGAACTCAGAATTAAGCACTGATCTGCCATGTGCTATATGCACATCAATCGTGTACAGGACATCTCGTCTGTGCTGAAATGAGATAAACAGATGCTGAGATATTTTGGAAATTCCAAAGCACTATGCACATTAAGCTATAGTTATATGAATGTAAATGCAACATTTATTTATTAAGGGTAGGGAAATGGGGAAGCATTTCAGAACTTTTGGGCTAATGAGTCCAATTTACAATTATAGGCCAGAGAAGCAATGTTTTCAGCATGGCAGGAATTTCATTGTTAAGATGTGTTTACATCATTACAGTCAGTGGTTTAAAAATGCTATTAGTGCTGAACTCAATTTTGTTTCTCACAGATTCATTTGAGACAATTAGATGCCAGAATATTACTTATGTCAGAATAAAAGCAAACATAGCCGCAATATTTGCAAATCTCCTGTATTCAAAGGCCCACATTTTTAACAGTGGTTCAAATTGAAAGTAATTAAACACCACTTTTGTGTTACACTTTGAATATTTGATAACAAGTAAATTGAGTAGGTGGAACAGACACTAAATTGATCTCAATTTAACTTGAAGCATTGGCCTTCTCACATAAGCAAAACACCTTCACAAACATCTGTTGAGCAGACCTTGGGAAAGACAAAACTCCTATGAATTACTGCAACCACCAAGAACTTAAGGTCTGTGGCCTAGGGCTAGAATTCCAAATTACTCCAGTGAGGCTCAGCTGAGCATGAAGAGGAGTTCTAAGAACACGAATCTGTCCTGACGATTTTCTCTCAACTGTATTCTCCTTTCTTCCGCCAGGTAAGAAAGAAAGCCTGAAGGTGAACTACTTTCTGTGTTTTAGTGGGAAACAGCCAGGTTAGGCAAGCATTAACCAAGTTAAGCAAACCTCTCCCCTTGGGAAAGTGCCATAGGAACTAAACTCCAGGTTGGAAGAAAGTATATAATGAGCTGCCTACTTACAAGCATTTTAATTGCTAATTCAAGTCTTTAGGAAGGCCCAGATTTATTTGCTTAATACATAACTTCAGGGAAGAATATGGTATAGTCTGGATTACTAAAAAAGTAAATGGGTTTCAAAAATAATCGTAGCAAACAATAACAAAGAAGAGCAATAAAAAATCAATTGAGGGGCTGAGTAGTGGTGGAAAAGTCACATAAATCGAACTGTTCAATGATGAAATGGCCGGGTATTTCATATTTTGACAGATTAAAGCTCTGAAATGGTACTGTTTTTAAGAGGTAGGCATTCATTTCTCGATTTTTGGCCTTGCCAGGTGAGGTAACATTCTCAAATCAAATTAAAACTGTAATCAACACAACCAAAAGCACTTCAACCTCAGAATCCCTTTTTCTTATTGATCAGATTCCTGTAGCTCCATCTCCTATTCTCTCTGCAGCTAAAGTGTTGTATTGAGCTGCAGGATTTTAGAAAGCTTCTAATAAGCTCCTGGCTGCAGACAGAGACTACGTCTCTATCAGTCATTCGATCATTGTTACTGGAACCGAAAGGTAACTATGCACATTCACAGGGCAGTTCTGAAGTTCACCATGGCCCACCAACCTGCTTATCTCACTCTCCTTTCTGCTTTCGGCTTTTCTTAACCGGCCAGATAAAAGTTCATTAATTTTCTCAAGGCAAGACAATTTGTAAAAGCGATGCATTTCTGACTGGAGTGTCAGGAGAAGGATTTGGGCTATTTGAAAAATATTCCTGTCCTTGCCTGGGAATCTCAGGAAGACACCAGGAGGGAGTTTGCTAGATTACCTTTGAGTGTTCGGACACAGGCAGAAGAGTAATTAATCCTGCTTTGGGGGAAAAAACAAACCTGCCCTAAGTGGAAAAATTTTATAAATTACAGGAGCAGTTGACACAGATAACTGCTTCTAGAGTTGACCCATTCAATAATTGCGACTGCTCATTAAAGAACTATCTTGACCAGGATTCAGAAAAGAGTCAGTTTGAATTAATACATAAAGACCAATGGCTGAAGGGTAACAAACGTGTCTCTGAAACGCTGTCATCAGAGAAACCAACACTACTTGTGATCAACAAGTAGTAACAGAGATAAGGAAATGGATTAATTGTGTAGGTGGGGGGAAAGTCTTATACTCCTTGTTTAACAGAACTTCAGCAAAAACTGAAATACAGTTACAATACCTAGCAATGGAGAATGGGGAAATTTCTTTCGTCTCTCCTCATTGTCTGCTTCCCTTCAATAAAAGATTCCCAAATCTCAACACTGCCACTTCCTGAGAACAATTCAATATTGAACGCGGTAAGAAGGCACAGCATCCCAGGGAAGAAGGCACAGCATCCCAGGGAAGAAGGC